CTTCGAAAAGACAGGCCAGGTGAACCCCGGTGCGGGGCTCAGGGGCCAGCTCTGAGCTTTGGCGGCGCGCACAAGGGGGTGGGGAGAGGGGAGAGGGCTTCTTAGAAGGAGGCTGCTTCTTAGAAGACGCCGACCTTACATCTATAGAGAAGGCCCGCGCCTTCTAAGAAGCAGGGGTGCTTCTAAGAAGCCCTCCCCCCTCCCCCCACCCCCCTTTGCGCGTGGCTGAAAGCTGATCGCGCTCGTATTTTGGTTTTTCGCAACAAGCACAAACTGCGGACGGGGGCCGTGTCCAGCCCCTGGGCTCCGGGCCTTCCAAGAGGGCTGCAACATAGCACCAGGCCGCCGACGTTCAATTTCCCATCGAGGGTGCAGGCGGACCAGATGGGTCTTCGGGTCCGGGGGGGGGTCTTGTTCGGCATGCTGAAGGTCAGGGGGAGGGGGAGTGCAGAAGCCAGTCTCGGTGGCCCAGGAGACCTCCAGGAGGCCCCCAAGAGCGCCCGCATGGCCCGAGGAGAACCCGAAGACGACCCCCGAGAAGGCCCCCCCCCCTCCCCTTTGGACGCCCGAAATGGGCACGGAAAGAATGGGTACTATGCCCAACAGCAAATGTTGCCCCAAACCAGCGGCGGCCGCGCTGTTGGGCAGGCGGCCTTCTGCCTCGAATGGACACGGGCCGCGGCGGCCTGGACAGCGAGTCCTGTTCAAAATGATCAAGACATGCTGTTTCGGGAGCGGCAAAGAGGGGGGTGTCCAAGAGGGGGGGGTGCAAATCATGACCGGCGGCATGTGCGCGGCCCAGCGGGGGGGCCAGGGACGTCAGGAAATAAGAAGAGGCGCCATGAAATCTGGGGAAAGATCATGGCCCCCGCCATGATAGCCACTCCCCCCCTAGTCATCACCCCCCTCTTTTCCGCCCCCGACTGTTGGGCACTGTGCCCCTTCCTTCCGTACCCACCTCGGGCGTCCAGACCCCCGTTGTGCTCCCCCCGGGTGACGTCTCCCGGTGGTGCCCCCCAGCGCGGGCGAAGCACGCAGCCCGCTATAGCATCAGGTCGGGCGTGTCCCCCCTACAGGCGGATTTTGGGCGAACATTAAAACAAATCTCCCAAATTGGTCAAACACATAGTCGAAAAAGCGTCCCCAGACTATTTGTTTTGCCATTTTCGAAGATTCCTCCCGTGGAGGGACGGGCCCGACCTAACGCTATAGCATTGCCGCACCTTCGCTCGACGTTTCCACACCGGCGTCTGCAGACGAGCGCGACGCGTCGCGGCCCCGGGCGCGCCGACCGCCTGCAGGCTTTGGTTCCCACCGCTCGGCCGCCGACCTCGTCCCAGGGGTCCGAGCTGGAGCCGGCGCCCTGGCTGTACAGGTGGCCGCCGACGCCCTCCGCCGTGTCGCAGGAGGAGCCGACGTGGACGTGGATCCCGCAGCCGTTGGGCACGCCAGCCGAGGCGCCGGGCGCACAGGCGCCGTCGACCCCCGTGAGGTCCCAGGCGAGGACCTGTGACTCGCTGTCCGAGCGGGCTATGCTGACGGTGCCCTCGACGCTCAGAGGGCCCGCGTAGCCGGGGTACCTCCGGGCCGCACACGGAAGGACACATGGCGGGCCAGTGTCCGACAGCAGGGCCCCCATCAAGCTTCAGATCTGGAAAACGCATGCCGACGTATGCGTAGGCATGATGCTCAGGCACGTACACGTATACGTATACGCAGGACTCATGCCTACTCAGTCCTACGTATACGCATACGTATATGGAAGACTCATGCCTACGCAGTCCTACGTATACGTGTACGTATACGTCGGACTGAGCCTGTGACATGTATGTCACAGGCTCAGGGCCGCCACAGCTCATCCTCCTCACTGCTCCGCGTCCACCTCCCCAGACCCCCGAAGCCATGATCTTCTCGTCACGTCGACCTCAGAGGCCTCGACCCGTCCCCCGGGGGCCGACTGCTCATCCCGAGTCGTCTTTGACGGTCCCGGGGTGGAGGAGGAGGAGGAAGAGGAGGAGGAGGAGGAGGAGGAGGAGGAGGAGGGAGGAGGAGGAGGAGGAGGAGGGGAGGAGGAGGAGGAGGAGAGGAGGAGGAGGAGGAGGGAGGAGGAGAGGAGGAGGAGGAGGAGGAGAGGAGGAGGAGGAGGAGGAGGAGGAGGAGGAGGAGAAGGAGGAGGAGGAGGAGGAGGAGGGAGGAGGAATGAATCGAATCGAATCGAGCTCTGGGGGCATTAAGTCAGATTGTCCACTCGTGAGAAGCCTGGGCCACTCCTGATACCTTCGCATCAGCTTACAACTACAATCTGCTTGCTACTAAGCCCTGAGGACCCATCGGGGGACTTTGCAATCCTGCCGTGCTGGCAGGAGGACTGCTCTGGCGATCTGCGGCGCTCTCGTTTGTGGAAGACTGAGAGGCCGCCTCGCACCTGCATGGCACTGGGTCGACCCCCCGTTAAAAAGTTTTGTCCACCCTCGAACGCCCAAGGACGAAACCCAGACGACCGAACCACCGAGGGCCCGACAAGGACACGAAAAACACCGGGAAAAAACAGAGGGCCAGGGAGCGAAGTTCGAGGGTGGACGAGGGCACAAAAGCTAGAAAAAGTTCAAGAGATAGGAGGAGGGTGAGGAGCCTCAGAGGTGCTCGGAACACTTCCCGTCCCTCTCCCCCCTCTCTTCGGTCGGGCGCGTGGTGGCTGGATCACCGTTGCTGTATTAACTGCCTGTCTAATGGCTGCTCCTACTGGAACATATCCTCTCTCCACCAATGCCAACAGTCTCTCTGAAGCCGTCGCTATCTGTACTCTCTGTACATGCGTCAATTGAACTCTGGGCCGACCGACTTCTACTCCTTCTTGCCCTTCCCCTTCTTGGAGGACCCTGCCTCGAGCTCCTCGAGCAGGCTCTGGGCGGCCCTCTCGAGAGGTCCGCGCGGGGGCGGACCGTGCTTCTGAATCGCCTGGTGGGCCAGCAATATGCGGACGCACACGTTCTCCTCGTCGTAGCTCTGGTGCATCGCGAGGGATATCTTGACCATCTCTGCTTTGCCCTGCTTCTGCTTGGCCATCTTGCATTTGCAGTATAGTACTTTGCCCAGCAAGTCGCCCGCTTTGCATTGTGCCCCCGCGATCTTCTCCATATAGAATTGAGTAAGAATCTCGGCGTCGCGTTTCTCGATGTCTTCGCATTCGCCCAGTCCGCGGGGCATGGCCGCGAAGATGTGGATGAAGGGTGGGCCGAGCTCCTCCTGCTTCACGGGATCGTCCTTCAGCGACTTCGCGGTCTCGTGGTAGTCCTTGCCCTGCTGCAGCATAGCCTTGACCACGGGAGAGTCGGCGCTGATGAGGAGCGTGACCCATAGCATTCCTGTAATTTCGCTAATTTCTGCGGCGTTGGTGAGCGCCAGCTTGGTAAGCACGATCAGCAGTTTGCTCGCGGTGTTGACCTCCTTCGCGTCGCCGCCCAGCAGGTCTGAGAGGAGGCGGGTCTTCTTCGGGTCCTTGGTGTCGCCGCCCTCTCCTGCCCTCTTCAGGCCCCACGTGGGAGCGCCGAGTTTGAGCGCCATGACCCCGCTGAGCAGCTGTGTGCGCCAGGCAGTCCAGGGGAGGTAAGTGCGTTCTGATGTGCCCCTGTAGCTCTTCAAACGTTTGAGCCCCATGATCACAAAGGTGGCAGTCCACTCGATCTGGATGCATTCGCCCACCGAAAAAACCTCGACTGGTCATTGCATCGGCCTCCACGAGAAACTGTAGCGAGTAAATGTCTCTGGGTCGTCTTCACACAACTAAATGTGACCAGGCAATAGGGGCGTGTATTCGTGGTGACCGCGCGTGTCCATATATCTCTCATACCGTGCTTGGCCATCCTGTGCTGTCTGACCCCCTTGTATGTAGTAAAAGTGCATGTGCATACTGTCCCCGTAGCATTCCGATACCCACAGATCCACTGAGCAGCGCCGGCAGAAATAGAGGGGCGCGCGGGTTCAGGAGGTGGTCGCTGAGCAGGGGGCCATCCAGGGGGCGGGATAGCACTCGTATAAATCCCTCTTCGTAACACCGTGAAACCCTGCATCAAAAAATCGTGATTCATTTCGTCATCTGTGGACAAGTCCAACCACCCCGTGCGAATTTGACTGCCCAAGAACCCTCCCTCATCATCAAGTCCTCCCACACCCTGCAGAATGTCGTCTCGCATCTGTTTCGCCCATGGGTTCGCATCGTCCCGCAACTCTCTCTCCTCGATCGTCGGATCTGTCTCGGAGGGAAAGTGACCGAAGAGGGAGGTGAGTATCTGGCCATTTCTCCACTGGTGTCCGAGAATAGTCTGGGTCCTCTTCAAGCGGCGCACCCGCATCTCAAGCTTAGCAGGGGCCATGTTCCAGTACTCCAAGACCTGGGATGTACTCTTCGAACGATGTTGTATCGTACCGTCATGGGTCTCAATCTGCTCATGTGCCTTGCCTTGCATAGCGCGACGAGCATACCGTGCAACAAGATGATCGAGTTCCGTGTACTGCTTGTCTGAGCATACGTAGGATTCATTTCCATGGGGGGCGGTATTCTGCACAACATATTAAAAGCGTGCGTTTAATTCTGCACGGGGTGTGTTTCAACGACCAAAAACTTCCATGGGAATAATAAGCGGCCGCCACGGCCTTCTTTCGAAAATCGAACTCAACAGCATAGCTACAGTCGGCGCCCACACGGGCCCCCAAGTATCTAGCATTCGGCTTAGGAGGGGCAGGAAGGGTGACTCGTCCAGTCCTCAGGGCTCGCGCCTCTGACCCCGCACCGACTCCAGAAGGAACGGGCAGAAGTTCTCGCTTCGTCATATGCTGTTTGCACCCGATTTCGGCCAGGGACCTGTCCAGGAGAAAATTGGTTCTCTCGCTGACGGCAGCGAGCTCCTGCAATCCCTGGCGGGGTCCCGCTGTTAAGAACTTCAGTATATCATCAGCGCACAGGCTTAAAGATGTGCCCGCCGCCCTGTCAATGAAGGGGCGTTGGGCCACAAGTTCGTCCGTCCCCACCCCCCAAGCCTCAAGCGGCCTCCCCGTCCCTGATAGCCGTCTGAAAGGCTTCCACGAATTGGCGAACGACATAAGGGTCTCGCATGAAACCTCCACATCCTGGCTGGAAGAAGCGGGAGCCTTCGGCACATGGGAGGGTGACTGACGCTTCCTCGAAACGCTGGCAACCTAATTTCGCAAGACCGTCCTCCATCAGCTCAACTGCGGCGGCCCTCATATCAGGCCAGTTGACACTCGCAAAGGCATTCGTAAGGTCATGCAACTGCGCAAGTCCTGGACGGCCAGCGCGTCGAGCGCGCCACATCATGATGAAGAAATTCGTGATCACATTCTCCTTGCATCTATGGGGCAGAAAACCGTGCACCTGGGGGGGCATTTCGGGAGACTCCGAGTGGGTGGAATACCAGCCCTTGCCAAGGGGAGAAAGAAGGTGTACTGTTCGGAGCCCCGACGCCGTCTCCCCAAATACAGTGCCATCAGACTTCTTGGCCCACGACACCCCCATGCTGGCGTGCCAATATACAGGGGTCCTCAAGCCCGTGCGAATTCTCAAACAGAGATCTTCTAAATGCTTCCTGAACAGAGGCGCTTCTAGTTCTGGTTCTGAGGCACCTAGCCCTCTACTGCGATAGGAGGCCACCGTGGGAGGGGCCAGCAAAATCGCCAAAACTTCAACCGGCGCAGCCCACGATGGAACCGCTTTTCGTTTTGGGGCTCGCAGGGCCCAACGCTCGAGTCTACGAACATCTCGCTTAGCTTTCAAACGCTGGGCCTCATTGAGGGGGCAGGTGTCCTCAGGTGTAATCGGAGTCCTGGCGCGGGCCCACCGAATCCATGAATCAATTTTCTGTGCTGACATCCCGCCTTCGGAGCCAGGTAGCTGAAGTTGAGAAAGCCACTGTGCTTCAGCAGGTGGTGCGACATGAGCAGCGAGGAAAGGGCGACGTTTAGTGCCGTATTTCGCTCCTGCCGCTCTCCTTGCCAATCGATACACATCTCGTAACTGTCGCTTGCGCCAGCTCTCCCACAGCTCGTCCACGGTCCGAGCCTGAAGCTCCTTCCACTCAATAATTCTTTCACGTCGCATGTGGCGGGATAGCGCACGAAGTTCCTGAGATACCTGCTCTGCTTCATATCCAATCGCGTTGACGCGCTCTGCTTCCGCCACCATCTCCTCATAGGTCGGCTCCTGCGTCGAAGGTAGCGGAGAAGAATACCTCTGAGTTGCACATGTGCCGCCGCCCTGCGTGTCATGGCCTCCGAACTCCCCCCAGTCGAGCCTTTGCTGCGTGCCGCGCGAGGCAGGGAGCTCCCAGTGGCTAGCCCTGTCGCGTGGCAAGACCTCCTGGGTTGAGGGGCTCGCAGACAGCAGGGCGGCAGCAACGGGGTCCCAGTCCTGAGCGCCGTCATTCGTGTCGTCCAGGGCCCCCAGTTGAAGTCGCAGTGCGTGCCGCCGACGTAGTAGCTCTCTACGATGTGCTTGTAACGCTCGATACCTCTCATCTCTTGTGTTTTCCTTAGTGAAAAACTTCTCCGCTTCTTCTATCATGATGCCCTCAAGTTGCGAACCATGACTGTCAGGTAGTTTCTTTCCAGCAAAAGACGTAAGTATTTTTTCCTCCTCTTCTAATCGTGCCTCAACTGCCAAGATGTATTCGTCTCTAGTCGGGGATCCGTGAAAAGCCTCCATCATCGCATCTCGATTCCAATGCATACGCTGCTGTTTTGTCTCATGTATGTGCCTTCAAGTCGGCATTTTGAACTTGACATGTAAGAACAGATGGTCCCTGCGAGCCTTCGTATTGATTGATTGCAACTGGCGTGACAATGTACTCAACGTACCAGCCGCAAGTGTTTCGTCAGCGGCCAGGCTCTGCGGGACGCAAAGATAATCAATCAAACTTTCACCTTTGTCTCCATACCATGCGCTCTGTCCGTAATGCGCCGAAACTGCGCGAAGGTGGTGTGCTTCGAGAAGAGCACGCACGAGCTGACCCGCAAGGTGTTCAGGTCTCGAGCCCATGTAGCTAATCGCAGGCGTTTCAATTTCTCGATGTTCGGGGTCTGGGGTCCTTCCCATTCCATCATTCAAATCCATACATATAATGGGTACACTCCGTGAAGGTATTTTGCTTTTGCCCAGAATCTGTGCGGCCCAATCGTGCAAATCTCGTACGCATCTGTCGTATTTTGGAGCCTCTGCCTTCGTCTTGACCCTGGGCGGGAAATAAAGCCCCAGGAAAGTGAAGTCGTACATTTTAGAGCTTGCCCGAACAGCTAATCCCCGTCCTGCTAACTCTGGTCCAGGAACCCATATTTGTCGAAGGTGTTCCTGTTTGATTTTGCAGCCGAAACTGAAGTAGATGCCCGCCGTCCTGTTCGTGTGTTTGCCTTTCGCCCATCCTCCCTCAACGTGCCACCTTTCTCCCATGCGGCGCTGCTGGACTCGAAGGTCGGCCCTCGAACCCGAGCCTACCACCCCCACGGCGTCAAAGGCGCGGCAGCTGAGGTTGATGTCGTCCTGGCGTTCGCGGAGGGACGCAAAGAGGGAGTTAAAGTGGCCGAGTCTCCATGTGTGTGGAAGATAACGATCAGAATCATCAGCCGTCTCTGCACCTCCCCCCAGTTTTCGAGAACATTTCTCCAACCGAAGCTGCAGACATGCCCCTGCGGCCATACAGGCCACCAGCAACAACATCAATACGGTCCCTGACGAGTCATCTGCTACTAAGGGGGTCAGGGTCTAGCTGCGGGATATCGCTCGATCCAAGCGGCAGCTGGAGGAGGAATGATGGAGGAGGGAGCAGGGAGAAGGGAGGAGAGTGGAGCAAGGGCCTCCGGAGGCCAAACATGTGCAAACAAAAACGCCCGTCGTGATGTCTGCATGGGTCGTGGGGGTCTGTGTGCGCTGTCTCCCCCCCGCCCCACGTGCAAGCCCTGCGAAGCACGGGAGGTCGGAGCACCTCCGCACGGGCGGAGCCACGAGAGGGAGGCGGCGCGGGCCGTGGGCGGGCACGGCCCACGAAGAGCTCGAGCTGGAGTTCCGTGGGGCCCAGGGTGGGGTGGGGGGAACTTCCTGGCGGCCCCAGGGGGGAGGAGGGGGAGGGGGAAGGGGAGGTGGACGGGGAGGGGGAGCGGGAGGGGCAGGGGGAGGCGGACGGGGAGGAGGAGGAGGAGGAGGAGGAGGAGGAGGAGGAGGAGGAAGATGAGGACGATGAGGAGAAGGAGGAGGAGGAGGAGGAGGAGAAGGAGGAGAAGAAGGAGGAGGAGGAGGACCCTGGTGAGGGCCCTGCTGCGAGGCCTGGCTCGCACCCTCTGCGCAGGACCTCTCCGAGGGCTCTGTGTGGCTTGAGCCGCCCGCCCCTGGAGCTCTCTCCATGCGTCCCTGGCAGTTTCGGTTTCAGCTCCAGGGGCGTCTGGACAGCCGCGTCGAACCAATGAGCACACAGGACACTGAGCCAACAACTATGATTGCACTCGTCTGGAGGCCACCCAGATGAGCTCCGAGTAGATGGGGTCGGAGGACCGCGCCGTATCGCCGATGCATCGGCGATATATCGACGATGCATCGCCGATGCATCGGCGACGTCGGCGATGCCTCGGGGCCGTCGGCGTGGAGAAAATCGGGCCCCACATCGAGCCGCATCGCCGATGTGTCGGAAACGTGGCGCGATCCGCCGACCCCATCTACTCCGACCCCATCTAGGGGGCCTAGATCGTCCCTGTACCATATTCTTCGCCAGCGCAACGAAGGAGCAGACCGAGAGAGCCGCGGGGGCCGAGAGAGCGGCCTCGGGTCCCCGAACTGAGGAAAACAAAGACAACTGTCTGCCGCGACTGCAGCTCCTTCGAGCCGCCACGAGGCCTCTGCCCCCCCCTCGCCCGGACCTCCAGGCGTGCCAGAACACAGCCCTCCAGACCCGTAGACTTGTGGACGCCACGACTATGGACACCCTGAAACAGTACGATCCTTGAGTTCAAAATGAGGTTAACATGTAGGACATGTTCTAAACATGTTTGTTTCTATATGCTTAAAAGATATTTAACACATGTTTCAGACATCTGGAAAGTATTTGGCAACGTGCTTCCTCTCCATTGATCGCCCTCCACAGCTATAGAGCGAACCTCCACGGGAGTCTGGACGTCGACGCTGAGGTCCGACGCTGCGAAAACATCGCGGCATCGCGAAGAATCACGGCCCGAGCACGGGACCCCATCGTCCTGCGTCGTTTTCTCCGAGCCGGATCGAACCGTGAGGGCCCGCGGGGCCCGAGGCTGGGCGCAGGCGCTCGGCGTGAAGGAGTGGCAGTGCCAGGATCTCAGGGGACGGCCTGGTGCCATGTTTGAAGGGGCCCCAGGACACAGAAATAAATACACACAACCAAAAATATCCTCCGTAGTTTCGCATATGTTCTGGGTTTTTGTCTTCCCCCCCCCACACGTCCCATATGTTTCCATATCTTCTGGGGAATCGACGATTCATTGTGTCTGTGTGTGTTTTTCCCCTCCCGATTTTTTTCAGCCCGAAGATGTGGCACCGAACTAATACACCGACGCTTCTTGCCCTGCACTCGAATTTCCGAGCATGTTCTTTGGGTGGAGGGCAAAGGGTGAACTCTGAAATGCCGCTTCGAGTAATTTTCGAGGCTGGAATCTGCAGAAGGCGAATCACAAGACGGATTGATTTTCGAGGTGCAAAAGCCCATACGGATTTCACCCTGAGCACTCCACCCTAAGAGAATGCTCATAATTTTCGCAGGAAAGCGGGTCCTGTTGTATGCGGGACACTGGCGTATACATCCATTTCCGTTTTACCCCCAGGGAAGCGGATGAAAACAACAGACATTATACACCACACCGACGTCGCCCCCCCGACCCTCAAAGAAAGCCCTGGGATCGAAACCCAGGCCCACGACGTCGAATTTTTGTTCACAACGTCGACCCCCAGAAGCCTGGACCCCTTCCCCAGGACCGGTATTTTCATCCTGCATCGTTTTGTTGACGTTCCCGAGGCCTGGTAAAAAGGGCCCCCACAGAAGCCAAAGATGGCGAAACAAACCTCCGTCGTGGGGTTTTTCACGACGCGAAGGGGTCTGGGAAGACAGTCCGCCACTGGTAATGCATATGCTACGTATTGCTTCCGACAAAGATCGGCTACACGCAAGCGCGACCCTGGGCAAGAATGACCTTCGGTGCGCGGCTTCTTGGGGGCCGCGGGGAGACCACACCCGGGCGCGCAAGCCGCTGCTGCCGCTTCGCTCTCAGCCCTCTGAGGGCCCACCTGTGCCCGCAACAAAGGTCACGCCGGCGGAAGGTCAGTCTTATTGGGCGCCCGAGTTATCCCGGGTAACTCGGGTCCGGGGTAACCCGGGTTTGGATTCCCGAAAAAGGAATCCGAGTTAGCCCTGACCCCAGTCACCCCTGATGATGTGGAGCTCTGGACGCCCGAATTATCCGGGGTAGCTCGGGCCCAGGGTAACTCGGGTTCGGATTCCCGAAAAACGAACCAGAGTTAACCCTGACCCGAGTTACCCCTGATGTTTCGGGGCTCTGATTCTACGTCTAGTCGAAAAGAGGCCCGGCCTCGAGAAGGAGGCCGCGCTGGCCGTCGGGCCCGCCACCACCTCGGCGCAGGCGACGCGGGCGCCGCCCGCGAGCGCGTGGACCACGAGGGCCCGGCCCGCCAGCTCCCAGAGCCTGTCCGCAGCGCGGGGGACCCCCTCGGGCAATCAATCAATCCCTCCTCCTCCTCCTCCTCCTCCTCCTCCTCCTCCTCCTCCTGCTCTTCGTTCTCCTCCTCCTCCTCCTCCCTCTTCCCCTCCCTCCTCCATCCTCCTCCTCCTCCTCCTCCCCTCCTCCCTCCTCCTCCTCCTCCTCCTCCTCCCCTCCTCCTCCTCCTCTCCTCCGCCTCCTCCTCCGCCTCCTCCTCCTCCGCGTCCTCCCCCTCCTCCTCCTCCTCCTTCCCCTGCCTCCTCCCCCATCCTCCTCCTCCTCCTCCTCCTCCTCCTCCTCCTCCTCCTCCGCGCGTTGCAACTTTTCACACTGGGCGTGTGCGCCCAATGTCGGGCCCCGGGGCCCTCGCAGATCGACCCGGCTCGAAAAAGGATGCAGAAAGATGGGGTCCGAGTCTGCATGTTTGATGTTACGATGTTGCAATTGTGCAACGATGTTGCAATTGTGCTACGATGTGCAATTTTGCTATGATGTTGCAATTTTGTTCGCAGCGTCGGATCTCAGGGACGGCTCAAAAGTCTCCCGGCCTTCCGAGAGGTGTGCGAGGCCTTCCCGGAAGACAGAAAAAAACACCCCTCAGACGGCGCGAGGGCTTCCGCGAGATCCCGCCGCCTTCGGACAAGGCCTTCTCCGCCTCTCACTCCACCCCCCTCGCTCGCCGCCGAGGCGCGGGCCCCGTGGGACACGGGCCCCGGACCCCGGGGCCTTCCCTCGGGACGAGATCTCCATCCCAGGGGGTCCTCCTCCTCCTCCTCCTCCTCTCCTCCTCCTCCTCCTCCTCCTCCTCTCCTCCTCACTCCTCCTCCTCCTCCTCCTCCTCCTCCTCCTCCTACTCCTCCTCCTCCTCCTCCTCCTCCTCCCCTCCTCCTCCTCCTCCTCCTCCCTCCTCCCCTCCCTCCATCCTCCCTCCTCCCCTCCTCCTCCCTCCTCCTCCCCTCCTCCTCCTGCTCCTCCTCCTCCCCCCCCCCTCCTCCTCCTCCTCCTCCTCCTCCTCCTCCTCTTCTCCTCCTCCACCTCCTCCTCCTCCTCCTCCTCCCTCCTCCTCCTCCTCCTCCTCCTCCTCCTCCTCCTCCTCCTCCTCTCCTCCTCCTCCTCCTCCCTCCTCCCTCCTCCTCCTCCTGCATCTCCTCCTCCTCCTCCTCCTCCTCCTCCTTTCTCCTCCCACCTCCTCCTCCTCCTCCTCCTCCTCCTCATCTTCCTCCTCCTCCTCCTCTCCCAGGACCCGCTTCCCCCAGAGCGAAGAACCGCAGGCCGGTGGCCACCGCCAGTCTCGAGGAGGAGCGGCCGGAGGCGTCGGACACGTAGGCCACGTCCGCCCAGGGGTCGCTGGCGTTGTAGCCGTCGGCGCTGAAGAAGTGTGCGCCGGCGTCGGCGCACGACTCGCCTTCAGACGAAGCCAGGACGAGGACGGATCCGTTTGAGGGTGCATCGAGAATCTCTGAGATCCGGCGGCGCTGGAGGATGCGGCCTTCGCAGAGCGCTCCGGAACGCTCTAAGAGCGCTCTGGAACGCTCTGGAACTCATGTATCCTCGTCCTGGCCCCGTCCGACGTCCAGTGGCGCAGGAAACGAAACTCGCGCGGAGAATAGGGGAACAAAAAGTGGCATAAACATAACAACTCGGACGTCCGCGCGGATTTCTCGGATCGGCGCTGGACCCCCCTCCCTGGCGCGCGGAGCGCGCCAGAGGCGGCGCCGGAGGCGCCGCCGGGGGGCCCCAGCGCCGATCCGAGAAATCCGCGCGGACCTCCGAGTTTTTATGTTTATGTCACTTTTTGTTCCCCTAGAGAAGGCATCCTCTTGTTGACTCTCATCGCCAGTGTGCACGTGGATGCCGCAGCCATTCTCCTCGCTGGCTCCCGCGCCAGACGAGCACGCCGCGTCCAGGCCCGTGAGGTCCCACTGGAGCGTCTGCGTCGCGTCTCCCGTGATGGCCACAGCCCCGGCAACCGTCAGGGCCCCCTCGTACCTGCGAGGCGGGGATTTATCCAGATCCACCGCCTGGGAAGCGACACCCTGGCGCCGCAGCGGGCGGTCGATGTGTGTGTATATATATATATATATATATATATGTATGTACATTTTGGCCCCCAGGGGCCCGAATCTATATCCACATCCACCGCCTGCCGAGGTCCCCGAAAACGGATCCTCCAGGCGGTGGCCATGTATAACTTCCCGCCTCGGAGCACCCAGGGTAGCGATCAAAGGCGGCGACAGACAGGATGGTCGGCGCGGTCCTTAGACAGACGCGGCTCCCATAGTTCAGAGGCACGCTCTTGCCCAGAGCGCTGAGCACCCCGCTGGACGATGAACCGATCTTTCCAACCCGATACGCAGCGATTGGCAGACCGACCATATACATTCAGACTCGATTGGACAGGACACGCGAGAGCACACAAGACCCTTCCGAGGGCCACGTTGCCACAGAAATGCAGGAGGCATGGGTACCAAGACGTAGGACACGAGGGTACCCTTGATCTGGCAGGGTCGACCTACTAATCCGCGCCGCCTGTAAGCGGCCTGATCGAACCCTGATCGACGGACCACAGGGGAGCCCGGAATCGAATCGACCAGCCGAGCCTGCGATCGAAATCCATCGGGCAGGTGGAAATCGGCAGCGCAGTCGGGGGGTGTGCCGAATCGGCGGACATCGGCAGGTCGGTAAGGCCTCCACTGAGAAGCCGACATCCAAATCAGAATCCGAAATCGAATCGGAATTGGAATCTCGGGTCGGGCGAAAGGGGGGGATAGCAAAGGGGGGGGTTGAGAATCAGCTCACGTAGCTGATTTTCCCGGCGCCTCCCGGCGCCGGAGGCGGCTATGTATCGAGGAATGGGCCCCTCGGTGGGGCCGAAACCAGCTGCGTGCAGCAAATGTCGTAACCCCCCCTTTCCAAATCCCCACCTTTCATCCGGCCCGAGAATCGATCGGGATCGAATCGAATCGAGTCGGAGGAATCGAAACGAGCCCCGGATCTCGGGGCCTTCCGGGCGCCGCGCACGGTGATGGAGTGCGCGTACGTCCACGCCGCGCCCGTCCACGCCGACCACGCCGCCGCCTCCGTGGGACACGCCGCGGCGCCCGGGCCCGACTGGACGCCGCAGTCCTCGGTGGTGTGGAGGGCCCCGATGCGCCAGTCCTCGCACGACAACTTCTGACAAACGAACAACACACACACACCCATACCCATAGGGGGGTCGTTGGGAGGAGGACTGGCTATGGGTATGGGTGCGGGTTGTCGGACCCTGGGGAGCGCTCCCGTTCGAACGGGGACCCCCATCCGACAACACGCACCCATAGCCCTCTCCGACCCCAATATGGGTATGGGTGTGTGTGTTGTTGGTTCGTCAACTTCTGCCATAAACAACTGTCGGAGGTCCGCGCGGATCTCTTGAATCGGCGCTGGGCCCCCCCTGGCGACTTCTCCGGCGCCGCCCCCGGCACGCGTCGCGCGCCAGGGAGGGTATAGGCGCAGCGCCGACCAAAGGGATCTGCCCGGACCTCCGGACGTTTATGTTTACGTCGTTGCTTGTTCCCCGAAGTCCCCGTAGGCCTTCCAGTAGTAGAGGAATTGTCCCTCGGCGTTCGCGTAGACGGGGCGCCAGTCGTTCTCCGGAGCCAGCGGATGGGTCGTGATCGCGAACGTGCCCATCCTGCTGCCCTGGACAGCCTCGCCGCCCTGCGCGACCAGGGTGCCTGCGCAGGGGTCGAGCGTGGCACAGGCGTGGACGTCGCCGTCAAAGTTGTGCCACACCACCGCTCTCCCAGGAAGCTCCCGGAACGACAGCCCCGTGCTGACCTGCACGAAGCCCCTGGAGAACCCCGCCTCGTCCGTTGTGTAGGACACCTCTGCCCACGGGTCTGCGGCCGCGAGCTGCGCCATGTTGTAGTAGTGCGGCCCAATGTCGCTTGGCCACTGCGTGCACCTGCCGGAGTGGACGTGGATGCCGCAGCTGTTCTTCGTGTCTGGGTCTCGGCCCGAGCTGCACTTCTCGTCCAGGCCGGAGAGCTCCCAGGAGAGCAGCTGGGTGCCCTCGGACACGAACGCGAGGCTGACGGCCCGCCTGGCCAGGTCATATCCATCGTAGGTCGGATCGCCTGCGACGGGGTACTTGGAGAAGTCGAGCGCAGGGATGCTTGGGGCTGCGAAGAGGATTCCGCACGCGATGCGCCCACCGCCTGCGAGCTGGTGCACGACCAGGGCTCGCCCGGTGAGCTCCGAGAGCGTCAACCCCGTCTCTATCGTCAGGCTGCCCGCGGTCGCGCCTCCGCTCGAAACGCTGTACGCGGCGCTCGACCAGGGGTCCGGCTCCTGAGGACGCAGGAGGAGGGACGAGGAGCAGCAGCCCGAGGAGGACGACGACGGCGAGGCGAGGCGAAGCGGGAGGGTCCTCGCTGTAGAGGTGGCCCCCGACCTCCTCCGCGACCTCGCAAGACCCGCCGGTGTGCACGTGGATGCCACAGGCGTTCGGCACGCCGTCGCCGGCCCCTTCGGTGCAGCTCGGGTCGACGCCCTCCAGGCTCCACTTGAGGGTCTGCAGCGTCGAGTCGTCGAGGGCGGCCACGAGGTGCACTGTCCCCGACACGCCCTGGAGCTCCCCGTCGTAGCCTGGGTAGGGCACCAGGGTGGGCACGGTCAGCAGCAGCGCGCGCGCGCCCGGCGCGAGCGCCAGCAGCCTGGGGCGCAGCATGCCGGCCGAGGGGACGGGCGCCCGAAGAAGACCCGCGGGTGCACGGCTCGGGAGCGGCCAAGAGGGGGGCGTCCAAGAGTGGGGGGTGCAAATCATGGCCGGCGGCATGTGCGCGGCCCCGGGGGGGGGGGGGGCGAGGACGTAATGAAACAAGAAGAGGCGCCATGAAATCTGGGGAGATATCATGGCCCCCGCCATGATAGCCATCACCCCCCTACCCAGACCCCCGACGTCATGAATTTTTCATGACGTCGACCCCAGAGGTCCAGAGCCTTTCCCCATGACCGGTTTTTCATCCCGAGTCGTTTTTGACGCTCCCGAGGGCCGGTGAGGGCCCCCGGAGGCCGAAAATTAGGAAAAACATCCCGTCGTGATTTTTTCATAACTCGAGGGGGTCTGGGTAGTCATCACCCCCTCTTTTGCCTTTGCCGCCCCCGAGGTGCACGGCGGCCGGCGCCCCCGCCCTGCCGGGCCGACATCTGGGCCCCCGCTGCCGTGGGAGCGAGCGTCGGCCAGCGGATCCCGCCAGCAAGGGGCGCCCCCACGTCGCGCGCGCGGCGCGCGGCGCAGAGGCGCGGGGCGGCGCGAGCGCGGAGGGCTCTTCGCGCTCCGGCGCCGCCCCGTATGGGAGAGGAGGAGGAGGAGGAGGAGGAGGAGGAGGAGGAGGAGGAGGAGGAAGGAGGAGGAGGAGGAGGAGGAGGGAGGAGGAGGAGGAGGAGGAGGAGGAGGGAGAGGAGAGAGAAGGAGGAGGAGGAGGAGGAGGAGGAGGAGGAGGAGGTGGAGGAGGAGGAGGGAGGAGGAGGAGGAGGAGGAGGGAGGGGGAGGAGGAGGGAGAGGAGCCGGAGCCGGCCGCGCCGCGCGAGGCAGCCTCGCGCGCTGGACGGCGCCCCTGGGCAAGGCTGCAGGGGCGCAGGCGAAAGCCAGAGGCGTTGGGCATCCAAGACCTGCGCCCGCCCCTCTGCTCATCCAGCCTACATTTAAGTCGGGCCTGTCCCCCTACAGGGGGGATTTTCGACGAAAAATAAAACATACCCAAAACATACTCCCAAATAGTCAAAAATACTTTAAAAAAATCCCCAGACTATTTTTTCCGATTTTTGAATTTGCCCCCTGTAGAGGGACAGGCCCGACTTAAACCTACATCCCGCCAAGGCGGGAGGTGCCACGGCTGAGAGGAGGCGATCCAAGCGCCGGCACCCTTCCTGGCAGCACGCATCTGAAATCCGAGGGGTGGCCTCCTCGTTATTCTCCGGTGGCCTCCTCGTTATTCTCCCCCCTCCCCCTCCACCTCCTCCTCATCTCCTTCTCCTCCTCCTCCTCCTCCTCATCATCCTTTCCTCTTCTTCCTCCAAGGCAGTGCGCCTCATCCGCACCATCCATCAAGAACCATCACAAGCATAAGCATAAACATAATCATGATCAGACCCATCATCATCATTATCATCATCATCATCAGCAGCAGCATCACCACCAACAACACGATTATCATCATCATCATCATCATCATCATCATCACTACCATCGTCATCGTCATCATCCTAATCATCAGCAGCATGATCATCAGCATCATCGTCATCAACATCATCATCAAATCATCACCACCGCCATCATCATTCTCATCAGCAACATCATCGTCATCAGGATCATGATCAGCATCAGCATCATCAGCATCAGCATCATCAGCATCAGCAGGATCATCATCAGCAGCAGCATGATCAACAGCATCATCATAATCACCAGCCGCATCAGCAGCATCAGCATCATCATCAGCATCACCGCCACCAGCATCATCAACATAATCGTCATCACCAAAACCATCACCATCAGAATCAGCACCAGCATCATCATCATCATGACCATGATCATCAACACCGCCATCATCATCAGCATCATCATCATCATCATCATCATCACCAGCATTACCATCACCAGCATCATTATCATCGCCGGCACCATAATCATCATCACCACCACCATCATCATCAACATCATCAGCATCGCCATCATCAACAACATCATCATCAGCACCATCCTCAGCACCACCCTCATCCTCAATACAATCCGTATCATCATCATCATCATCATCATCATCATCATCATCATCATCATCATCAGCATCCTCATCCTCATCCTCATCCTCATCAGCATCATAATCAGCATCAGCATCATCATCATCAGCAGCATCATTATCATCATCCTCAGCATCGTCATCATAATCACCACCACCACAACCACCACCTCCATCATCATCAACCTCCTCCTCCTCCTCCTCATTATCATCATCGTCATCATCATCATCGTCATCATCATCATCATCACCGCCTCCTCCTCCGCCTCGTCGTCTTGCCCCTCCACCTTCTCCTCCTCCTCCTCCTCCTCCTCCTCCTCCTCATCCTTCTCATCCACTCGCCTCCTCCTTCTTCTCCTTCTCTTCTTTTCCTCCTCCTTCTCCTTGCCTCCTCCTTCTCATTTCCTCCCTCTCCTCCTCCTGGCCATCTGGCCTGACCACGCTTGGCGTCTGTGTGCGGGCGGCGCCCACCGGGGGAGCGTCGGAGCAGGGAGGATGAGGAGGAGGAGGAAGCGGAGGAGGAGGAGGAGGAGGAGGGGGAGGAGGAGGAGGAGGAGGAGGATGGAGAGGAGGAGGAGGAGGAGGAGAAGGAGAGGAGGAGGAATGAGGAGGAGGAGGAGGGGGGGGAGGAGGGAGGCGGAGGGGGAGGCCCAGGGAGGGGGGGAGGGAGGAGGGAGGTAGGGGGGAGGGAGGGAGGGGGAGGGCCAAGGAGGGAGGGAGGGGGGGGGAGGTTTCGCGCCCAGGGGGGGAATGAGGTGGAGAGTGCCTCAGGAAACGATCGGGTTGGACCTGGCATCTGATGCTTGTGGGCGGTGATGCTGCGACAGGCGCCAATTAGAGTGGTGGACTGTACTGCGTCAGGGAGGAGGCGGTTGCAGGAGCGGTGTTGTGGCATCTGCGATAGACCCGCTTGAGCGTGCGAGACGCTAGATGGAGGAAGGAAGCTCTGAAGCTGGTACTCCTGTTACGTTTTGCATCCCCATTAGCAGCATCGGCGGAGTGGCTCGGTGGTGAGATCGCTGCCGCGGGCATGACATGCGAGATCGTGTGGCTGGCACACGGTGGGGGACGGCAAGACACTCGAGCTGCATTTGCGGGGCAGGGGTGGCACACGCGCGACGATGTATCCCCGCGGAAAAAAACACGCTGGACGTCGGCGACGTTAGGAGTGGCGAGGGCGGGGAACTCAAGGACTGGGTGCCCTCTGGGGCCCCATGAAGCCAGCGAGTCCTGTCAAGACGCTGGCCACAACATCCCAAATGCGGTGGAAGTCGACCGACGATAGGTCAGCAACCATGTGTGTCTCCTGCGCTGCGGCACTGCACTGCGAAATGCGAGCCGTAGCTGCAGCAGGAGAACGAAGGCCATCACGTAGGTGCGTTGGTGTCCAATGATCAAAGGCTCAAAGACTGGCGACTATTGCGGATAATGCCATGGCGCGCGGGTGCAAGGATTGTGTACCTTGAGCAAGAGGGGCTGCCAGTTGAAGCAGGCTGAGAGGCGAGGAGTGGCAATCGCCTGCGGCGTCGCGGACACTTCTGACTGGGCAGCGTTGGGTGGTGTTGTACGCCGCGGGCAGCAGGGAGGAGGACGGCGCAGGAAGGAGGGAGGGGAGGCAGGGAGTCTGGGGCCAGGGGGAGGGAAAGAGGGAGGAGGGAAGGATGGATGGGAACTCAGGAGGGATGGGGGACTCGCATCAGATGGAGGAGGGTGTGGAATGGGGTGGAGGAGCCCGGAGATCCGACGTGGCGAAACAATTGCAACATCGGAAGCAGAAACGCCCGGAGACCTAGACCAAATCTTCCGCAAGAAAAATCAGCGCCACGATCTCAGGGAGAGTCGAGGGGGGTCGTCCTGGAGGGTGCGCCGAGGGTGTCCCGCGCCCACTCTGCCTCGAGAGCTCGGGCAAGAAGGAGCGGGCCATTCCCGCTCCCAGCAGGGTCGCAGGCCCAACAACTGGGGCTCCAGGCCTGGATCGACAGAGTTCTGGCGACTCGAGATGGTACATCAGCACCGCCAAAGGCCAGAGTCATCGAGGGTCCTGCTGGTGATATGCTCCAGGACCACATCACCAGCAGAACGTCTCCAATCTCCAATTCTCAGGGGCAACCTGCACCTCCTCGCTGAGGCTGGCGCGCTGATGGCAGCCGGTGTGGTTAATTACTCCTCCCTCCGACACTGGGGCTCAAACTCAAAATTGGCGACTCAAAAAACATTGGGACGGCTATCTGTTCTTCCTTCTCGGCGCGGGGATGCCGTTTCCCAGCCCCAGGACTATCAGAAGCGACCCGCAGGATGATCAACTGCCCCAGAGAAAGGGGTCGAGCGCTCTGGTGGAGGCCAGCGACTCAAAAAATATGGTTGTCAGACGTCTGCGAAATGGGGACCTGGATCCTTTAGCTTTTTTTGTCTACAGCTGTTATGTGGCGACGGAAAAGGGAGAGGCGAGAGGGAGACGATCCGAGCAGTCGGTGATCGTCCCACGCTTGCGCAGAGCTAGCGAACGAAGTCGCGCTACCAGGTGAGTTGTGGAAGTGCGTGGGAAGACTGGGGGGGGGGGGGGCGGGCAAAAAGATGCGGACAACGCTGCCGTCCAGGACTCTCCCAGAGTGATTTTTTGACCAGACTTCTGAGGCGAATCCAGCTCTGGCAACGAGGGCCCCTGAGGAAGGAGGCCCACAAGACGAAACCGAAGCAAGTGTATCGGTGCATAGGCATCGGGCTCCTTACCTTTGGGAGACAGAGAGCACCTGGACCCCTTCAACGTGCCACACTCGGCGCGGCCTGTCGCGCCGGAGGACCGATTCTTCGATCAAGCCAGGCGGCCCTTTTGTGTGCCAGGTGCCAAGGGAGCATTACTCGGAGCTCCGCCTGGAATTGTGCGCGCCGTTGACCCATGAACGCTTATCGTGTACATTTACCCTGGCCCCACTTGCTCAGTCAAGCCTTTTACATGTAGGAGTCAAAGTTCTGATGTTCCAACCTAGTTTAGCCTTGATCACCAAAAAGAACTTCGTGCACCAAAAAAGTACAACAATTTGAAGGTTTTCACATGTCGGGCCCTGGGAGGCGATACTCGTTCGACACTGTTTCGATACTTTTCTGGGTGTTCGAAATTATTTCTAGGATGTGGTCCTTAAGTACGATGGGCGCAACATACAGTGAAAGGCGCATGGCATTCCTCCCCCCTCCCCCTTCTCCTCCAGGCTCTGGCTCCCAAGCGTCCGCCGCCATGCTCTTTCGTGACGTTGGCCTCCTGGGTTTGATGGTCACGGGGCTCGAAGCTAAAGAGATAGCCTCCGGGCGCCTTGCGCAGTGGTGTCCGGCGACGCTGACGTTGACGACGAAGTCGGCGACGAAGAGGACGACAACGACGGTCACGACGGTGACGACGACAGCGAAGGCGACGGCGGAGATCCG